ATAGAGAAGAGGACAGACCAGGAACATGTAAAACATCATTTAACTTGAACAATTTAGAAGAAGAGGCTATCGATGCAGAACCAACATTAAGCATAGGCATACATGTACCATTGCCGACTCTCAGAGTGTCTGGACCGTCATAACTGCTAGCAGAGGAAAACATAGTAGGGTTAGGAGTGGCATGGTTTGTAGCTCCGATGTCGGGAAACCACTGATGAGAGCCAATCGAGCCACCATCATCCGCTGAATAAGCCATATGAGCCTGAGGTCCCGGTGACTCAGAATACATGCGATAACAAGTTAGAGCAGAATGTCCTTGACCATTACATATCTGACACTGAATATTAGACCGTGAGCGACCCCGACCATGCCCCTGACCTCCTCGTCCCTGACCACCACCGCCGCGGGACTGGCTATTACCGCCGCGTCCACCACGACCATGACGGGTTGCCATATCAGCCTGCGCACCAGACTCACCTCCACCGGTAAAAATGAACTCCTGCAAGACCAAATAGTCAGCCAACTCTGTCAACTTTACCGGAGAACCGCGTGTCAACGGAGCCACCAACGGACGAAGCTCCAGCCGCAATCCACGGAAAACATACAGATTCTGATCGTCGAGAGTCATAGGATGTCCAGCCAACGCCAAGTCCTCCACCTACATCTGCGCGCGGCCAAGATAATCTGAGACGGAGGAGCCGCCTTGCGCCAAACCCTGCAACTCACCGAGCAGACGCAGAGCACGGGACCTAGTCCCCGATCCCAGCGACTGTTCTATCGCCAACCACAACGCCCGTGATGATGACCGACCAACCGCCAAGGGTATCGTTTCATCGGAGAGCGAGGAAATCAAAAGAAACAGGATCGCCCGATCCTACCGACGCCACTAAATCTGAGGAGAGGACGCCTTCGGGTCAGTGCCACCATTGTCCGCCGTTGAAGCCGTCGGTGCAGAAACCTCCGAAGAAGGAAAGGTGTCGTCGACGAAACCGAGCAAACCCTGACCCTCCAAGAACGGGATCGGGATCATCTGCGTCCTCCAAAAAAGATAATTACGCGCAGTGAGTTTGAGGGAAACAAAGTGGTGAGCGGAGGAAAGGCTATTGTTTGGTAAAACGGGGGTTAGAGCAGCCTCGGTAACAGTCCATTCGAAAGAATCGCGAACAGAGCCGTCATCATTCGTACCCAAGGCTGCCATGGAAAAAGAGGTAAAAGACCTGGAAACAACTGATACCAAATGAGGATTCGAATTTCAGTAGTGAACGTAATACAAGTCTGTACAATAATAATATGGGAAGACAGAAAGAGAGTCCTAGTAGACTACGAATATAAGAGTCCTAACACACCCTTCATCATAATGCGGTAGACGCGCTCAGGTTACTCAACAATAAGTTAAAGGGCCCTGAGCTTAAGATATGTGTATGTAAGGTGCCAAAAGTGTCCCCCCCCCCCCCCACCCCACTCTTCGTCATAAATGTGGTATTTATAGGGGAGACAAATGAAACACATGTCGGGCCTCCGGCATGCCTAGCACGTATCGTGTATGCAATGGCCGAGCTCGAGAGTTGCGCCTTATTAACCACGTGTATTAAAATTCCTGAACCTTTTGGGCCCATCGCTATTGAATTTGGCCGAAGGAACTGAGCTCAAGGCTTCGAGTGCCACAAGTCGAGTGGTCGGCCCCAACCTGATATGGTCGGAGTGAGATCATGAGAAACAAGCTTTGCTGGCGAGTGAGATTATGTTCGATCTGCGGTTTAGGTCAGGTCAATGTGCAAAGAGGTCGGTCATGCTCGGACACGGCTTTACTCGGTTGACAGCCTTGGTACTGATCGTGTATACGATATGGTGTGGTTGGAATAATCCCTATCAATATCCATTTAATAAGTGTTAAATTTACAGTTAAGAATGTAAAAATTGGCTTGCTACTGAGATGGGCAAATTGAGTTCATAAACTTTATATACTAGGTTCATGGTTAGTGGGAATGTGAACAACAGGGTGATGCATAAGCTAATTTAGATCATGCTATTGATAAGGCTCTGCCACAAATTTGAAGCAATTATATCATTTATTTCAACACCCTTAAATATACAAATATGGAGAAGAATTATGCTAGCTAATTTTTACATCATTACCCTTAAATTTAAGATCTATTAAACGTATGTTTTACCGGATAACCAAATCTAAAACATAGGGATTTGCTTACATCTGTATCTGACAATACGATTCGAATCATAGGTTTTGACTTCAAAATTATTGCCACTCACAATAGAACAAAAGAAATATAACATAGTTTAGGGTTTGATTCTTGCGGGTCTTGTGTTAATTGTTATTCCCACTTGAAACATGCATGACCTAAGAGATCTATATATTGCTTTACTTGCAAGTACATCTTTTCTGCTTTTCAGCCTAAAATACACTCTCTAAAATTTTAGTCAATTCCTATTCAGCAACTACTCTGTGAGCTGTCCTAGTGGCCAATCTCTACTGTACTCATAC